CTGGTCCCTATGCTGCTTGCCCATGTGCTGCTCTGGTACCTGCACAAGTGATTGCTGAATGGCACGGGAAAATTTCCTACCACTGGGGAAGGAACAAAGCTGTTCTGCCAAGGAACCTTTAGCAGAGGATTGCCGAGTACCTCCAGGAAAGGTTCCTAGAGATCTCTCTGGAGGATTCCAGTGAGATCTCCGCGTGCATCAACACCCTGTTCCACCATATTGATTAGCCGCATAGGGAAATGTCCAGAACACAGAAACACAGCAAGCCTTGTTCATTTCTATACTCTGAACCCACCTCTGCACTACACAAACCACAGCCACTTACCAAACGTCTCATCTCCTGCTTCTTGCTCACTGAAGAGCAACTGCTTAAACTGGCTAGAAACCTCTGGAGTGATAAACAGTTCCTGGCTGCATGCCCCACCAGACGACCCCGCCTGGAGCTCCTCATTGTCATCTAACGCCACCTCTTCATCAATAACTTCATCCTCTGGGTTAGGTCCTCTTTCCGTTGCCTCCAGGCCCACCGAAGTATTCATGGGGAGGCTCTTGGAGGAGGAGGTAAGGTCACTGCCAAGGATAGCATCCAGCTCCTTACAGAACTGGCAGGTCTTGGGTGCAGCACCAGAGCGATGTTTTGCCTCCCTCGCCTTATGGTACACCTGCCTCAGCTCCTTTATCTTCGCTCTGCATTGCATCGTGTCCCAGTCATCGCCCTTTTCACAAAAGCCTCAAGAAATCTGCCCATAGATATCAAAATTCCTACAGCTGAAGTACAGCTGGGACTGCACAGTCTCCTCTCCCCAAATAAAGAGCAGACCCAGCAGCTCCACAGTGGTCCAACCAGGAGAGCTTTGCTGTATGAAGCCGCCATGGTCACCTGGTAAGATGCGATGAGACCTCTCCACGCCGAGCAAATAGGATATGGAATTTCAAAAATTCCCAGGGCTTTAAAGGGGGAGGGGCAGATGGCTGTTTACCTGGCTGCAGGACAGCAGACTTCAAACTGCTTACCACCGCAGTCAGGTCGGGCATTGTGGACACCTCCCGGAGGCCAATTAAAGCAATAAAAGCAAGCGTGGTGGCTACACTGCCACTTTATCAACAAAACTTTTGCTCAAAAAGCCTTATGCCTCTTGTCAGGGTGGTTTTATTTTGTTGCCAAAGAAGGGCATTTTTGCTGCCAAGAGTGACATCATCGTGTGTGCACATCCATTGTTTTGTCGATAAAAGCTGCCTTTTGTTGACAAAACTCTGTAGCATAGACAAGGCCTAAAACTTGGGAAGCCAACACAACAATTAGTCAAGAAAGGAAGACTCAGATGTCATAAATTTATTAGTCATTAAATCTGTACATTTTATTAGAATAAAATTTGACTAGACATGTAGTTTATTAAAGTTTTTTGTCCATAAAATCCTGTTAAGATTACTAATCATCACATAATTTTCAAAAACCACAAACTTAAAAGCCAAGAAATAAATAGTTAAGATTTATATAATCCTTTCAACGTCTACTTCCTATCTGATCCTGCAAACAATAAGCACAACACAACTCTTCTGAAAAAAAAACAACATAAAAATAAGAGCCAATATCTTACAACACAGGTGCCTAAAGTGATGCTCTAAACCCATAGTTAGCCTAAATAAGTGGTCTGATTTTCAAAAGTGCCAAGCGGTCAACAGCAAAACTCAGGACAATTATTTAGGCAGCTAAATATGGATCTAGGAGCTTAATGTTAGGCACCTGTTGTTTATTGCCTTGGCTATATTTGTATTATGTTTCTATTTCAGAAAAGGTTTTGTTTTACATTTAACATTTTGAGATTACAGTTGAGATTAAAATGAATTTTGGTTACTCAAAAAGAATAATGTGTGTATTCTGTGTGCAGTGTAATATTTATGGTGTCCCTGACTGCTCATTTACTTTTAATGCCACACTTTTGAAAAGAAGAAAACATTTCTCTGGTAGGATACATTTTTAGACAATGGTGGCTGTTTGAAAATGCTTAAATGTACAGAATGTTAAAATACAACTTTGAGGAGATGGATTAGTGAGCAAAGCACAGGTAAGGCAGTCAGGGATGTAAAATGAACCCAATTCATCGTATGAGTTAGTCTGTCAACATGGAGAAAATCTGAAGAGCAGACTTACCTTTCATAGGATTTAATTGCTTGTTCCAGTTTTTCTTTATAGGCATCAAGATTCACTGCCTGAGGATTAATTAGTGTGATCCGCTTCTTGTCATTGCTAACATGGGCCAGGGGTAACACCTACAACACAAAAAAGTGCAAAGATTTCATTTATCGTGTTATTCTTTATCTACCAGAATACTGGAATACCCCAACCTTACATACACAAGGCAAATCTCAAAGGGAAAAAAAGGAAAAGAAAAGAAAAAGCCAAGCACTTGATGTGAGTGATCAAGTGTTTGGAGACCCATGAGACTGATCCCGATCAAAGGTAATGGGGTTGAAACATAACATTTGTTTCTGAATTAAGACATCATTTTCTTGTACTACGTGTACACAAGTCTTGTAGCTACTGTGACCCCTTTAAATAAAATGTTGGAACCCTGCAAATGAATTCTTATGAGGCAAGGGAAATTAAGCTAGCTAAATCTCTATTTAAATTCTAAATGGAATGAGCAGCACTCTCTCTAGTCTTAATCTAATAGCTAAAGGACAGCACAGAAAGGATGCAAACAGTATCTACAACATGAACATATTATATACTGTATTATTTTAATACAACATTGTATATTTCTGTATAGAACACCAGCTTATTGCCATCTATTTTTACACAACATGCAAATAGGGAATTTACTTATTTAAACATTTTAAATGTCATATCTTATACTCTAGGGGCAGATTCCACCAAGATATTTAGGTTCCTAAAATGCAGATAGGTACCTATTGTGATTTCAAAGGATCGAAGTAGGTTAGATGCTTAACTCCCACTGAAACCAATGTCATTGATTTCAATGGGAGCTAGACGCCACACCTGCATAGGCACTTTTGAAAATTGCACATGGTGTCTATCTACATTTTTAGGTGTCTAAATATCTTTGAAAATTTGGCTCTAGGTGTATGATCTACGGAAGCACACTTCATTACAAAAATAGCACAGCCAGACACCCTAATACGGGATCTTAAAGAAAAGAGGGGAGCGAGACCTCCCACAACTTCCCAACCCCCAAACAACAACATTACCCAACCCTTCTTCCCAGAACCCTTCAAACAACTAAACTATTCCAGAGTAATTCTGGAAAAACTCCAGTGCACAGTACCACAAGGAAACATGAAAATGGGGTACAGAAAGAAGGTACTACTGTGTTCAATGTACCAACACAGATTCTGCAAAACTTCTTTTGTCTCAAATGGTGCATTTAAATCTCTTTCCCAATGTCCATCTGAGTTTGGCGCATGGATGACAGAGAGCTAGCTGAAGTTCAATCCTGATGAAACTGAAGTAATGTTGATGTGTTACAGAAAACGATCAGAAGATGCAATAAAAAAAAAAAGTGCCTCTAACTGAAAGTATGTCTCTGCCATGTGTTACTTGTGTCTCTATCATGGGAGTCTGGCTGGATTTCCAATTATTACTAGATGATCATCTTTCAGCAGTAGTCAGATGGCTTTTTCTCTATCTGCGGCTGGCTCCAAGGTTGCCATCTTTTCTTTCTGAGAACGACCTCTTCACTGAGATTTATGCATTTGTGTCACCTCACTAATAGACTACAGCAAATCACTTCACAATGGACTACACCTTAAATCCATTCAGAAGCTAAAGCTAGTGAGACCGTGGCAGCTCAGTTGTTCATAAGTGGAGTATTTTGTCCAAACAGATGAGATCAGTCTTTGCTCAGGGGGAAATACTCAACAAGCAATGCCTGCCTCTGGATTTCCGGATGGAGTTCAAGCCCTAAATAGCCTGGAACCTGCTTACTTGAGACATCACCCCTGTTTTCCAATCCCATACTGCCATAGTTGAGATCAGCAGTTTTGCTCAAACTGCGGTCTCCACATAGGCTCCCTTTTCAATGGAATGCATCCCCCCAGCACCACCCTTTATCCCAACAGTACAATACATTAAAATTCAATATAACTTCTCAAGGAACGGGTATAATAGTCTAAGTAGTACTCGAAGGATAAGCAAAAATACACGCATTATTATGGCATTAAACTTATTAAAGACACCACAATCTGCAAAGCAGATACACAAAAGAATCTACAGAGAAGTATTCCGCCAGAACTACTAGAGGGGGACTGTACATTATGCTAAACAGCCAGAGCACCTTTTATTCTGGATATGAAACTGATGCATTGTGTAATGAATTAATCTCTTTGAAATAGCTCAGGTGAAACTGCCAGGGCACTCAAAAATGAAAGAGCACATGAGCATGATGTTAATGAAGAATTGCCATGGCAACCTTTTTGCTTGCTTCTCTATTTCCAAAACAATAAATCTGATGTTAGTGCATTAATGTTTGTAGAGGATGAAAATAAAAATAATGTCCTCTAAAAAAACACCAACAATTGTGTACGTATTTATGATTCTGAATGGAGCCTTTTCAAGTATAGGAGCAACCAAGATTCTTAACGCAACCTCATAATTCCTGCTCAAGCTTTATAATTAGGGTCCTACCAAATTCACGGTCCATTTTGGTCAACTTCACAATTATAGGATTTTTTAAATAGTCAATTTAGTAGTTTCAGATGTTGCCATCTGAAATTTCACAGTGTTGTAACCATGGAGGTCCCGACCCAAAAGAGGGGGGAAGGGTCACGGGATTGCCACCCTTACCTCAGCGCTGCCTTCAGAGCTTGGCTTCCAAGCCAGCAGCCACGGAGCTTCCTGCAGCCAGGGGAGGTTCCCAGTGGTGAGTCTGACCTGACCCTGGGAGCTGCCCCTGCAGGGGAATAAGAAGTCCTGTCTCTCCCCAGCCCAGCCAAGACTAGCAGCTGGAGATCACCCTCCCCTACAATAGCCAAATTTCACAGGGAGATCAGATTTCATGGTCCATGATGCATTTTTCAAAGCCGTGAATTTTGTAGGGCCCTATTTATAATTAAAGTCACACCCTATTCTCAGCTTTTCCTTCAAGTGTTGGCATGGATTCCAAAGGAGATTGAGTTCCAGGGCTGATAAAGGTAATTCTGTTGACTCCACTTATTAGTAGTTCTAGTTCCTTTCCTTCCTTTACATACAGCATATTCGTGACCTGCAATAATGCAGGCTCCAGCATTTCAGGCCATAACCTACCATTGAGGTATTCATTAGATGTCTTAATGAAATCTGTGGGGAAGTTCTCTGTAAAAATAGTTGGCAGGACAGGAGTGTTCATTTATAACTGCTTCTAACTAGAGCTGGGCAAATAATTGATTTTTTGATTCAGCCAGCAAACTGAAAGATCAGAGAAAATCAGTTCATTTCCAAAAAGGTTTGGAATTTGTCAGCAAATTGGAAAAGTCTGTTTCAGGTCGGGTATGTGTGTTTCCCTTTATAACCTTTAGTTCAGTGGTTAGGAAAATGGTATGTGGGAGACCCAGATTCAAATCCCCACTCTGGAGCAGGGACTTGAATTCAAATCACAGCCCTGCCAGGTAAGCATCTATCGACAGGCTATAGGCTACTCTGGGTGGGTTGCTCTCAATCTCTCCTGTTGAAGCTGTTCCACTTTAACTACTTAAATATTCAGTGGGCCAAAATGAGAGTGACTCTATAGCCTCCTGCTTAAGGCACTGACCTAGGAGATGTGGATTTAAATCTTCCCTCTGCCTGACTAAAAGGAGGAGTTTGAATCCACATCTCTTACCCCTCTCTCCCCACGTGTGTGCTTTAATCACCAGCTAAAGAGTCACTCTCACTTTGGCTCAGTGAATATTTAAGTATTTATACAAAGTGGAACAAACTCACTGTTACCTCCCTCAAACTGACCCTGAAAAACTTTCCCCCAAACAAAACTATCAGGCCAGATTCACGAATAGTTTTGCGTCGACCAAAACTGCATTTTTCAGCAAATAAACTATTTTTTTCTCATAAGCAAAAAATTTGCCCGTCTCTATCTGTAATTATGTCCCCAAACCCAAAAGTGCCTACAAATATTGCATTGTTTGCTAACAGCTATACCACTATATTCATTCAAATATAATGGCCTACATTCATCCCTGTGGATGAATTTAGCTCAATAATATCTAGATAAAATATTTCTCTAAAATACCATTTGCAGAGGTGGCTCAAACTATTCTAGAAGGCTTTTAGTTTTTACAAGGTGCTTCTTTCAAGCAGCAGTTATAACAAGTTTTCAAGACTATCCTGGAAAGATGAAGGGAGAGCTTGGGAAACTCTCCATGGGGAGACCTGAAGAGAACAGCTGGTAGGAAAGGGCATAGGGAGCGGTGACAATTGCCTGGAAATAGCCCATTAGAGTTGTGTAAAATTCCCAGTTTCTGTTATGTGACATTTCATACCCAAATTCACTGTTTTGCGCAGGTTCACACAAGTTTTGCTTTATTCGGTTTTGGCAAAAAGGCTATTTTCACATATGAAATATGCAAATGTGTACATTTATGTAAGTTTTTGAGGCAAAAAGACATCTTTCTTTTAAAAAATGTCGCTCCCCCTTTTTTTAATATCAGAAACAAGCTTGATTTTTTTGTGTGGCTATTTTCACTAAAATAGTGAGCTTATTTTTTTCTTTAAAAATCTGAATATTACAGCAAAAATTCCCTTAAAAATGCACTCAAGTTGGAATTTAAAACTGAAATTTAAAAAATCTTAAATTGTATGTAGATTCACATTTTGATAGGAATATTTCACTCAGGTTTACATCATATCCCATTCACAAAGCCTTTACCTCCTCATTATTCAATTTAAGCTCATGCTCTCCAGCTTTTCCACTGCTGTGTAGTTTTTGTAAAACATTTATTGTTTAGAATGAACTGCAACAAATTCTCAGCATGTATAGAGAGAATACACCAATTTAAGAATTCCTCCAGGGGTAACCTTCCACAACATGGATTGCCCTTTGGGGAGGGCATAGGTTCACATTTCATGACAAATAATTCAGTGGGAATTGTTAACACTCAGAACCTTACAACAGGCACCTATCAAGATGGGATCCTAGATCATTTCATTCTGTTCTTTTCTAAAAGCACTCTAGAGAACACGTGTAGCTCTGAGAACTCAGTGATCCAGGAAAGCGTAACCAGTTTACTAGCTGACTAACAGCCCAAAATTCAGAACTCCAATGATTTAACAAATATCATTAATGACTATGGCCCATGAACAATTTTTGAACACCTGGTGGCTGCATGCTGGCACCAACTGGTATATAGGCAAGAAATGCAACTAGCATTAAGCTCTATTATCTTGTCACCCTGCAGGAAACAGAATTAATAAATTTGTTTTATCATTATTTGTTGTGAATAAATATTTCGAAATGTATACAGTACATTTACTATGAATAACCCACATTCTGCTATGGACACTTGAGGACATACTTATTCAATATTTATCTAGATGAATAATAAAAAAATAAAAACAATAGTAAATTTTAAGTTTCCCCTGAAACAGCATAAGAGTTTTACCTCATCAAATACTTTAGAAACAACATGTTTGTCTAAAACCGGGATGTATTTAGTGCTGTGAGGAACAGCTGTAGGGGCTAAGGCATCCATTATGGTGAGTCGTCTAGCAACCAAGCCATGAGTCTTTAGCCAATGAGCTGAAGATGTATCTAGAGAACTAAAAATAAGAGATTGTGAGATTTATTCATAGATTCTAGGACTGGAAGGGACCTCAAGAGGTCATCGAGTCCAGTCCCCTCATGGCAGGACCAAATATTGTCTAGACCATCCCTGATAGACATTTATCTAACCTACTCTTAAATATCCCTAGAGATGAAATTCCACAACCTCCCTAGGCAATTTATTCCAGTGTTTAACCACCCTGACAGTTAGGAACTTTTTCCTAATGTCCAACCTAAACCTCCCTTGCTGCAGTTTAAGCCCATTGCTTCTTGTTCTATCCTTAGAGGCTAAGGTGAACAAGTTTTCTCCCTCCTCCTTATGACATCCTTTTAGATACCTGAAAACTGCTATCATGTCCCCTCTCAGTCTTCTTTTTTCCAAACTAAACAAACCCAGTTCTTTCAGCCTTCCTTCATAGGTCATGTTCTCAAGACCTTTAATCATTCTTGTTGCTCTTCTCTGGACCCTCTCCAATTTCTCCACATCTTTCTTGAAATGCGGTGCCCAGAACTGGACACAATACTCCAGCTGAGGCCTAACCAGCGCAGAGTAGAGCAGAAGAATGACTTCTCGTGTCTTGCTCACAACACACCTGTTAATGCATCCCAGAATCATGTTTGCTTTTTTTGAAACAGCATCACACTTTTGACTCATATTTAGCTTGTGGTCCACTATAACCCCTAGATCCCTTTCTGCCGTACTCCTTCCTAGACAGTCTCTTCCCATTCTGTATGTGTGAAACTGGTTTTTCCTTCCTAAGTGGAGCACTTTGCATTTGTCTTTGTTAAACTTCATCCTGTTTACCTCAGACCATTTCTCCAATTTGTCCAGATCATTTTGAATTATGACCCTGTCCTCCAAAGCAATTGCAATCCCTCCCAGTTTGGTATCATCTGCAAACTTAATAAGCATACTTTCTACGCCAATATCTAAGTCGTTGATGAAGATATTGAACAGAGCCGGTCCCAAAACAGACCCCTGCGGAACCCCACTTGTTATACCTTTCCAGCAGGATTGGGAACCATTAATAACAACTCTCTGAGTACGGTTATCCAGCCAGTTATGCACCCACCTTATAATAGCCCCATCTAAATTGTATTTGCCTAGTTTATCAAAAAGAATATCATGCTAGACCGTATCAAATGCCTTACTAAAGTCTACGTATAGATGTAATATCAAACAGAAATATATTTGGTAATATAGCAGTTATGGAAAATAAAGAAATATAAACTACTACCACTTGTGTGTGACACATGTACGTACTCTTTAGATGTTCTTTTTGCCACCTTTTGTGTATTCACCTCTGTGGAAAAACATTTACAAATTTACAAAGGCATCATGTAATGGTTTTGCACAAACACACACACACACACACCACAAAGTAATTAGCATCGGCTCTATCTGAGCCTATTAGAAGTGCTACTAAGGCTGTACATTAATGCTTATTCCAGCTACTAAATTTATTCATGAGAATTAATCTCTCTTGTGTTTCAGTCGTGGTGCCTGACCACTCACACTTCACAAGAACTAATAAAAACAAAAAATGTAAAAGTACATAAGCACTAAGGCTATGTCTACACTGTGTAAGATATCTACACTGTGCAACTTACAAGGGCATGGCTGTGTAGCTGCAGCCATGCCATTGCAAGGTGCGCTGTGGGGCCACTCTTTCTCCCAGTGGCAAAAGAAAATCACCTCCAACAAGGGGCCGGTAGCTTCATCGCCAGGAGCGCGGCTCCCACCAATGAAGCCCTGTCCACACCAGCGCTTTTCTTTGCTACAACTTTTGTCATTCACAGGGAGTTTCACACCCCCAGGCAATACATTTTAGCAACGAAAGTGCCAATGTAGACAAACCCTAATTTTATCATTTCAAAATTATTTTAAACTTTGTTTAGATTTATAGCCTTTAACTCAAGAAGGAAGATTCACCAAGCTTGTTCCTCAACTCAGGCCATAGTAACATACCATAGTGTCATTGCCGTCTCATTAAGCTAATATACAATGTTCATGTTTCTTTGATTACAATGAACACATCTTAGATGTGCACCCTTTTCAGGAAAAACAACTGTGATTCAGATGTGCCTTCAGCAGTCTTCAATGAAAGTATTCTGCACCACCTTCATGGAAAATGACCCTGCCAAAGAGACAGTGTATAGACAGTGTGCAAGGATCTTGAGGTCCTTCCAAAAAAACCAGACCCTTCTTTCCCTTGCAGATGATGCTAAACTGAATGCTATTTACAGATGTGTGAAATTGTATTCAATTTTCCATCAGTATCCATCATATTTTAATATCTCAAATTTACCATCCTGCTGAAAATGCTTCCTTGACCAGGTCAGTGAAACCCAGTCGGAATTCTTTTTACTTCAGTTTACAAGCTCATCAACAACTCAGCTCTGTCTTAAATGTGGTACCACAAGATCTAAACGAATTAGAATAAGTGACTTCAATTCCCCCAGTTGTGATAACTTGCCTTTAAAAATAGTGGCAGATTTCAGGCTATTTCTGAGCAAACAACCCTTTCTTTCAGGAGATATCCTCTCATCTGGTCTTTCTTCACAGGACCTCACTCGATGGCCCAGGGTCCTGAGCAGACTAGTCTTTGTTTGCTCTGCAGGTATTCAGACAGAGAGAAAAGGACAACTAATCTACAAATCAAATGGCTGCCTGCAATTCTTGAAAATATAACACTTCTTTGGTTTTCATCCCATGTTCTTAAATGAACTGTCTTAGGCAAGCCCCCACAGGTAGCAATACTTCAGCTCCAATTGGTTCTCTGTACTTTCCCAAGGTTTTTTTAATTAATGCTGTAGCTAATAAAACACACACACGAGGTCTTCACAGTAACCACAAACAATGATTCATTTATTTGAATTAAAAAGAGAGAGGGGTTAGATGCCTACTATTAACTGAACTGATTACACTGTATTTTTAAAATTTCAATCAAAATAGTTTAAATTAGGCATTCCCTTGCTGGGTGTGCAAACCAACCATCACAGCACTGTACCAGAAAGTGCAAATGACTGGACACTGACCAGTCTAGGGTAAATGTCCAAGATGAACAAAATGCAAAAATGATGGAAGATAAATTAGAGTTTTAAGATAATGTTTTGTTTAAATAATCAAATGTTTTATTTGCAACAGAGATGAGGAATTTTTATTTTATTACTGACAGAATCACTTCACAGTGGATGAATAAATTCTGTTGAATAATATCTACATGCTTCATTTTAGATAGTTACCTGCATACAGTGCTGTCTTCCTTCTGACTGGACTGTCACAACGAGTTTGCCATACATCTACTGTACGCTGGTGTGAAGTCAGCAATGGCTCTTCTGAGGCACAGTATGGCCTACTGATAGGAGAGGTGTTCAGCTCCTGAATGTGTGTGGTTACAGAGGATGCAGTAAGAGTCTGCTTGTGATGCCTGTTTATGAGTGATAAAGACAAGAAACAAGCAAGTGAATAACCTTCAAGAGTATAAATGCATTTGAAGGAACCACTTTTCAAACGTTAAGTTTAAATACATGCAGCACTTAAATACTGATTTCAAATGCTCTGCAAGACTACAAATGATTCACATTATTTTACTACGGTCTTGATTTCATAAATAGGTTAAAAAATGTTAGTTTTACTTTCAAAGGTTCATGTAAAAAACCCTGATACACATGTAAATAGTCTATCCTTTACTGAGGCCAGGCTATTCTATTATAGCTGCTTTGAATTCCCAAGGGTGGAGGGAGGAGAGTGAGCCATCCTATAAATAATAAGTGATATAAACGTCTCTACTAATGTTAACAACAACAACACACCCTGAAATAAGCACTTTACATATTTTTTTTCTACTGACCTGCTGGCCATTCCTTCCATGCATCTTAAATCATTCTGCACATCCTCTATAACAATAAATCATGAACTTTTGCTTGTATTCAGATAATTTTTTTTAAGGCAGAAGATGGTTTTCATTAATTGTTGAAATCTTTTTTTGAGATGTAATTTTTTTGTTTTTGTATTTGTAGTACACAAATGAAGTGGGCATCAGTTGAAATAATTTCCTCCTTTTTGTTTATTTAGTGCTCTTGTAAGGTATCCAATTGATATACCTGGAGATCTAAGATCTCTGAATTTCTATAAAATGGAAACTGCGTAATCAGCAGCGGTGAAAACTTCCCCCAGCGCCCTAAGAATCTGCCTCCATCCACCATGACCTAAAGGACATCTCTAGGGACATTCACTCTTCATGCACATTCACTCTTTGTCCAATTAGACTTTCAATGAGCTTGTTAATTGGTGCTGAATGTAGTGGTATTTGGGGGGGGGAGGGGAACTGAACTGAGACCATAAGGATCAATATGGAATGAATGTACAAACGTGTTCTGTGGGATCAAACTGAAGGGACAAACTGTTTTTTTCCAAGCATGTACTGTCTGCAGGAGGCAGAAGAATACTCACACTATCTGAACTGGTTCGTGTTACTGCTGCCACCTTGGCTCACACACCATTTTGTTCCAATTCCCAGCAATACATTTTTATCATCTTTTTCTTCCAGACTTGTTTGGTTTTTTTTTCATAAAGATTCTTAGAATAGTATTAATTAAAGATTTTTCAACCTTTCTTTGCAAAAGGAAAACATCTTAAGGAGAATGTCAGATGTGAAAAATGCAAAATGAAGACAAGACAAGAAATGTAACAGGTAGCTTGCATAACCTATAGAGCACTCTGAGGCATAAAGACAGTTTGAGGACATACTTATTTTCACAATCTTTTTCTCCATTATACCAATTCATCATCAGGCATTCAGTGTGAAAGGTCTGCACTTTCTCAAGATCGCTTTCCCCCTGTTCAATTTCTCTTTTTAAAAGGTATATATCTTCACTCTGCCAAAATAAAAATCAAATGTGTTACTATAATTACACTTAAAACATGCTTCATTTCTTAACAGAAACAATCCAATAAATAAGTTTGGGTGTAGAAAAAGGGAATGACATTTTGGATGATTTTGATTTTTTCCTCAAAGAGTTTCCCTCATTTCTAAAACAAAGTTTGCTTTGATCGCTCACCAAACATAGACTGACTATTAGCATAAAATTAAGAGGGAGGAAAATGATGATGGCAGTAATTTCATGTTCCCACAGAGAAATATCCTTTAGCAAAGGAGAAGCAAGCTGATGGCAAAAAATAGCACTAAAGTGTATTTGGCAAGACAATGTAAGCTTTTTAATTTTCTTAAGAAGAAGACTGCATTTACCTAACAAACCAGTTATCTCTTTGAAAAAGTTTACATACGCCAAAAAAAAAAAAAACCCACATGGATAGCCCTGTTGCTCCAAGCTTTTAGTTACACACCTTTTGCTTCCCTTGTCCGTGTTTAGTGGTGGTATTATATTACAGCTAAGCTCCAGTAACTGATGTGGTTTCCCTTTTACTGTTACACATTAAAGATACATTTTTTTATTTTTCAAACAATTACAGCAGCATATCAATCAAATAGGCATGATTCTGATCTCATGCCAGTGTTACACCTACTACTGAGAGTAAGGACTAGCAGTATAAATAAGGCTTTTAACTTAAATTAAGAGATTGTATCAGAATTAAACCTGTCAGGAAGACCATATACAGCACCCACAAGATAACAAAAACAGGGGAAAGTAGAAAACCTGTGCTTCATTGACCCCGTTCATACCCACCCTGGCACTTTTCACCCGCATCTAAACATCAGGTTCATGTTTGATAATATTTTTAGATGCCCCAAATACCCTAATATATTAAGGGCCTAATTCCACAATGTGTTGTGCCTGTTGTAGTAATCTCACCTGTGCAGAGTGAGTGAAAACCGGATGTAAAAACATTACTAGTGCAGAATGGTAGCATTTTACACTAACTTTGCACAGGGGTAAGTAACTATAACAGGTACAAAGCAGTGGAGAATCTACCCTAAATGATTACTGGAGAAAAGTGCCGCTATAGTCATATGCCCATCATTTACTGATGGCAATAGTACATTGCTCCATTTCTTCAGAAACATTTTGCATCAGCTCTATTGACAGCCTTTTTTTAAAAAAATGGTTGTATTATGGATATATTCTCTTAACCAGTCATTAGTATTATGAGACAGTCCTTAATATTGATTATTGTTTATATTTAACTAAAGTTCATGGGGGGAAAAGCACTCATACTGATCTTAAGGTGCCTTTGATTTAATTAAATATACAGTAATATAAAAGATAAAACCAGCAATTTTCCTCAACTTTAAGACAAGAAAATAAGTAAATAACCTACAAGAGATTAACATGAAACCAAACTAATACCCACCACACCCAAAATACCATCTTTATCATGTCCCTGCTTCTCCAAAACTTGGGATAAAGAGGTGCACCTCAAAGCATGACTGGAAGGTGAACAGATTTGGGCTCTTTTGGACCAGGAATGGGATAGAGACTAAATTCTAAAGATGGCTCTAATATTTGCCCCACTAGTGCAAGAGCACAGAATGCGAATGATACAAGCTTTATCCTTCCAACCTTTCCAACACATTCTGGATTCACATAATCCACATCAGCTGAGCTATAAGGGCATCTAGTACATCCTATGGAATATTTTGAATTGTATTATTTCTAGTCTTGCTTTTCTGAATTACTGTCTGTGATGTCCAAAATTTCATTCTACTCTCTTGTTCCTAATTATGCTAATTCTTATTCCACTTTTCCTTGTGTTTGGGGAACTAATTAATTGGTTGTATGCTTTAATTCAAAACAAGAATATTAAAAAAAAACATGATTATTTCTGAAAGTCCATGAAGAAATTTACTACTGGGGATTTTTAGATTGAGCTTATTAGTTACACTTGGTAGGTCTGTGCTGTTTTTGTAAATTTAGTGCTTATGGATATGGTTTTATTCCCTCCTGTACCCTCTCCCCCCAGCGGCAACTCTATGTCAAAATGTTAGGCATGAAACTTTCTTTAGCTATATATGCTCACATTAATTAACAGGACATTTATTGTTGAAGTAAAAAATCATAGATCAATTTCAGTTCAGGTCTAAGCATAACTCCCATTTGAGACACGAGGAATCACACCTGCTTTTTCCAGGGCAGAATTTGACCTCCATATTTTTTTAAGCTAACAATAACCATATAAATATATATTAAATGATATTTGTGGTTTAGGTCTGTTATGGCCTAATAAAATTCTATCACTGAGCAATGGCAGGCCTGGTGCTTTAAGATCACTTTAGCCTGACTGTGATTAAGTGATTAGTCTCTTTCCTAAGTCACATACTTATCAAATTGCATATATGTAAGCTCTGTTGCGCCTTAACATGCCATGAAAATTCATACTCTCATATTTAGTTTGAAATACTCACCACAATAGGCTCTGGAGCTTCAGGATCCGTCACATAAATATTATAGTAATGAAACCTCCCCCCTGTTTCAGTTGACAGTTCATGCAAAAATTTATTGGCCTCCGTATCATCACAGTTGAAAGATATGGTATGAATAGGAACTTTATGATGAAGTAGGATTTGGGCCAGAATTGTTTTTGGTGGCTGTAAAAATAAAAAAAATATAATAAATAGTGTTAAATATGCTGCAGATAAACAACTATTTAACAAACACTGTACAGAATTTCATTAGCCATGGGGCTGCTTGTAGGACCAATCCCTACTGCTTAAGGCACAAAGAAAAAGAAAAATATTTGCACTTTTTCCTAAAGATCCAAGAGGATTCTGGTTTATAACACTACCTGAATCACTGATTTATCATGTGAGCTTGAACAATTCACTTCAGGTATCATTCAACTCAGTTTTTAATCTAAGTAATATCCAGACTTTGCTGAATGCCAGATGTTGCAACTAAGCTAAATTTTCCTCGGTAAATGAATTATTTTAAAAATGCCCTTATCAGCATATTGGCCAGTTTTCACCATGTACTATAACTTAAATTTTCAATTTTGTCTCTTTTATAGCACTTGTAGGTGAACAAGAGGTGCTTTCCTTTCAGTTTTTGTTTGCTACATTATATCTTCTCAAACCTCAAGCCATTTTGTGTTAAAATAACACAACTTCATCTGCTATAAACATATTGGCACAAATTTTGATCTCACTTCCACCTTATATTAACCAAGAGTCTGAAGTTATTCCAGAACTATACCTTGTGAAATGAGAATCTGACCCAATGTGATCAATAAGAGATGTTTTACAATAAACAAACAGCAGTTTATGATAGCATAAAGAACAGGAGTACTTGTGGCACCTTAGAGACTAACAAATCTATTAGAGCATAAGCTTTCGTGGGCTACAGCCCACTTCTTCGGATGCATATAGAGTGAAACATATTGAGGAGATATATATACACACATACAGAGAGCATGAACAGGTGGGAGTTGTCTTACCAACTCTGAGAGGCCAATTAAATAAGTGATATATGCCATCATGTGCCAGCAATGCCCCTCTGCCATGTACATTGGCCAAACCGGACAGTCTCTACGCAAAAGAATTAATGGACACAAATCTGACATCAGGAATCATAATACTCAAAAACCAGTGGGAGAACACTTTAACCTGTCTGGTCATTCAATGACAGACCTGCGGGTGGCTATCTTACAACAGAAAAACTTCAAAAACAGACTCCAACGAGAGACTGCTGAGCTGGAATTGATATGCAAACTAGATACGATCAACTCAGGTTGAATAAGGACTGGGAATGGCTGAGCCATTACAAACATTGAATCTATCTCCCCTTGTAAGTATTCTCACACTTCTTATCAAACAGTCTGTACTGAGCTATCTTGATTATCACTTCAAAAGTTTTTTTCACTTACTTAATTGGCCTCTCAGAGTTGGTAAGACAACTCCCACCTGTTCATGCTCTCTGTATGTGTGTATATATATCTCCTCAATATGTTTCACTCTATATGCATCTGAAGAAGTGGGCTGTAGCCCACGAAAGCTTATGCTCTAATAAATTTGTTAGTCTCTAAGGTGCCACAAGTACTCCTGTTCTTTTTGCGGATACAGACTAACACGGCTGCTACTCTGAAACCTATGATAGCATAGATACTTGAAAAAAATCTAAGATAAATTTAAGTCAACAGCTAATTTTCTGCCTACAATATTTACTACAACATCAGTTCTCCAGAGATGGATTAGCCCTTATGTGCTTCCAGCAAATGGATGGGAGAGGATCTACATGGCTACTTTGTATGTGTTATTTGGGGGTGGGAGGAAGTATTGTAGCTGAAGGGCCATCTCTTTATCTACTTACTAGTCATTTCCACTTTCTGGTTCTCATGCAGTGCACAAGACTGCAATGTTTCAGTTGTAACACTGCAGGGGAATCTTTAAATCCAAATATATTGTTGGATTTTCAATTTTTCTGCATTTTTTTAATTCATGAGAATTTCTCTCTTAATATTATCTTATATACAAGTTTTACTATTTAATCTTAGATTTTCAGATATCCCTTCAGCCTTTTAGCCAACCACCAGCTGGTTAAAAAAGCTTCCTATAGAATTAAATTAAGTGCCATACATCAGATAAAACAGGGTTGCTGTGAGAGAGTTCAGGATATAAACCCATAACCCCCACTACCACTAGTTTAGAGATAGAATTCATCAACTTTGCAACAGACAGCCACACAAGACTGAGCCTGCTGGATATTTTATTCATCCCTATAGCTGTGCTTTGGCATCCTACCACCACATCATCACACTACCCCATCTCTGTTTTCTTGTTTCACAAATACCTGGTTAGGTCTCCCATCAGTCAGAAGATAAATGGCTTGAGTGTCACTATCAGCAAGTGCAATTTGAAGTGCTTTGAGTGTATTTGTAGAACTTCCAACCTAAAAACCCAAATGAGAGAGAGAGAGAGGTATACACAAAATACTGTTACACTGCTAAAAACAGACCATCAGCTCTTTTCTAGCAATTCCAGGAGCTAATTCATGATAAAGCAGTGACATGGTGTAAATTACATGTTGAGTGTCAGCTGGTCAGAAAATTGATCGAAGTGGTAAAGTAGTAAAATTTGCACTAATTCAGTATTCAATGGCTGTGCAAACAAGTATAACTTAAATATCAAGGGGCTGGAAGAGAGGATTACTCACCATGTGCAGTAACTGAGGTTCTTCAAAATGGGTGTCCCTATGGGTGCTCCACTTTAGGTGAATCTGTATCCCTATGCCTGCGATCGAAGACTTTCAGTAGCAATGCCCGTTTGGGCCGCACATGCTCTCTCCCAGCCTTGCGCCATGCCTGGCAACTACATAGCGCTGTGCAACCAAACCGCCCTCAGTTCCTTCTCCACCACAGAGTGCATCTCTGAACTCTGAAGTAGAAGGGAGGAGGGTGAGTAGTGGAGCACCCAAAGGGACACCCATCTTGAAGAACCTCAGTTACTGCACATGGTGAGTAACCCTCTCTTCTTCGAGTGCTATCCCTGTGGATGCTCCACTTTAGTGACTATATAGCAGTGTCTCTTGGTGGAAGAAAGGGGCTTTTCAAATGAGGATAAGACAGAGTCCTAACAGAGCATTCGAAGTCAACTTGTTCAATTGGGTAGTGCTCCATGAACGTGTGGGCTGATGCCCTAGTGGCTGCTTTACAGAGTCCATGATGGGTACATTGTTTATGAAGGCTATCGAATTGGAGAGCGATTTGATGGAGTGTGCCGTTGCCTGGGGGGTGGGTGGCTTGCAGATCATGTTGGCCGTAGCAAAGGTGAATGCACCCGGAAATCCATTTTGAGAGCCTCTGCTTGGATATGGCAGATCCTTCAATATTTCCATAACAGAAAGGAATAGCTTTGGTAACTTTCTGAAGGGTTTTGTCCTTTCAAGATAGAATGCTAATGCATGTCTAACATCTAGAGTATGGACCATTGCCTCGTTTGTTCTCATGAGGTTTAGGGAAGAATGATGGACGGTAGACAGGTTGGTTCACGTGGAATGAGGAAAGCATTTTAGGTGGAAATTTAGGATGTGGTCTTAAAGTAACCTTGTCTTTGAAAAAGATTGTATATGGGGGGTATGCCATGAGAGCCCCTAGTTCTCCTACTCGTCAGGCAGATGTGATGGCGATGAGAAAAGCCACCTTCATCGATAGGTACACAAGTGAACATGTCACCAAGGGTTCAAACGGGGGACCAGTAAGACAGCGTAGTACTAGGTTAAGTTCCCAGGATGGGGCGAGGGCTTATATTTCAGGATAGAGGTTCCGAATACTCCTGAGGAATCATTTAGTGATAGGATGGATGCAGATTGAGTACCCATCAACTTTGTGATGGAAAGCCGTGATGGCTGCAAGATGTACTCTAAGTGAGCTCGAGAATAGACCCAATTTCTTTAGCTCCAGTATGTAATCTAGTACCAATGGTAAAGGGGAGGTAATAGCCATGGTTTGCTCATTCTGACACCATATGTGGAATCTCTTCCATTTGTGCAGGTAGAGTATAACGTGTAGTCTACCTTCTGCTGTTTAATAGTATGTCCCTTACATCTTCCGAACAGGTCATGTCATTGTCCTGGAACCATGAAAGAGCCATGCCTTCAGGTGGAGGATCTCCAAGTTTGGGTGGGTCCTGCATCCTGAGACAGGAGATGTGAAAGAGGGCAAAGAGTGAGTGATGGGCATACCGCCATCTTCAACTGGTAAGGGAACCAAGTTTGTCTGGGCCACATGGGAGCTATCAATATGACTCTGGATTGATCAGTCTTTATCTTGTATATCACCCTGGATAGGGGGAGCTAAGGGAAAACACGTACAGCAGAGGCACATCCTATTTGATGAGGAAAACACTGCCCAGAGATCAGGGTCCCAATCCTGTTCTTGAGCAAAATTGTGGACACTTGGCATTCTGGGCTGTAACAAAAAGGTCTATAGTCAGGAAACCCCAGCATCTGAATATATTCTGTAGGACCGTGGTGTTTATTTCCCACTCATGGTCCTGAGAGAATTTTCTGCTTAGTGTATCCACTGTGGTGTTCTGACATCCTAGTTAATAAGTAGCTGATATGTTGATGTTGTGATGGATGCATCAGCTCCATAATCTCAGTGCTTCAGTGAATTTGCTCCCTCTTGATGGTTTATATAAAACATGCAAGCAATGTTGTCCATCAGTACCTTTATGGTCTTGTTCCTGATCAGAGGTAAAAAGCCTGAGCATGCATTGCAGACTGCTTGTAGTTCCTGTAGGTTGATGTGTAATGTTTACTCCAAGAGGGAATACCGGCCCGGGATTGTGTGGTTGTGCAAGTGTGCTACCCAAACTAACAGAGAAGCGTCTGTTGTAAGTATCATTGACGGAGGAGGCTGTGTGAAGGGAACTCATTGTGGGGTTGAGTCCACCAGTGTAGAGTTTTTGACTGAGAGTGACATCGTAAGACACTTGTTCAGGCTGTGTCTGTGCAGAATGTATACCATCCTGAGCCAGCACTGATGACAATGCATATGTAGCCTGACACGCCTTACAACAAATGTGGTTGCTGCCATATGATCTAATAATTGCAGGCAAGTCCTGGCTGATATCTGTAGGCTGTTTTGTGTTGTGGCAATCAGATTAACTTGGGTTACAAATCTGTGTAGTGGTAATGAGGCTTTGGGCTCCAGTGCATCAAAGTGGGCACCAATGAATGCTAGTTTTTGTTCAGGTGCCAACATTGATTTTTGCATGTTTATTTGTAATTCTAGATGTGAGAAGAGAGCCAGTTTCAAAGGTGTGTTCCCGGGAGGAGACTTTGAGTAGACAGTCGTCCAAGAAAGGGAATACCACCTTGCTTGCAGAGGTGGACTGCCACCAATGCGAGAATCTTGGAGAACACTCAGGGAAACGTAAAGATGCCAAAAGGCAGTACTTTGTACTGGTAGTGATCTTGTCCCAGAACAAATCCGAGGAATCTCCTGTGTGATGGGTGTATGGTGATATGAAAATATACATCTTAGAGGTCAAGGGCCGAGAACCAGTCCTCCTGTTACAGTGCTGGGATTATCATTGCTAGCATGAGCATCCTGAACCACTGAACCTTCAAAACTTGTTGAGTTTCCTTAGGTCGAGAATGGGCCTTCATCCCCCCGTCTTTTTCCTGGTTAAGAAGTAATGGGAATAAAAGCCCTTCCCTTTATATTGTGTTGGTACTGATTCTATTTCCTGTTGTAGAAAGTGCTCATGAGAAGGGTCCCTGATGAGGGACAGGGAGGGAGAGCGATGAGGAGGGAAGGAGGTAAACTGAATTGAGTAACCAGTGTTGATAATTTCTAATACCCAATTTCTCCGAGGTGATCGTCTGTCATACAGGGTGGAATGGGGTCAGCCAGCCTGTGAAAAGATGGACAGTTGTTGATGGTTTCAGCACTTGGAAATGGGAGAGGCATCTCGGACCCTTGACCAAACACTCAAAATTGCAGTTTTGAGGAGGGTTGTTGGGATGTTGATGGCTGAGATGGGAGTGGCCTCTGTCCACATTTTTATGGGTCATATTGTTTCTGTGGTTGGACGTATGGTGCAGGCCCTGTTCATTGTGCTGAGTGGTATTTCCCTGGCTTCCTTCTTTGTGCAGATGTGCAAATGCTTGAAGACCAAAGAGTTGTCCTAGAATATTTTTTAGGGTATGGAGGGATTCATCAGTCTTGGCTGCAAACAATTTCAAGCCCTCAAAGGGAAGATCAACAGTAGATTGTACTTCTTTCAGAAAACCAGAGAGGTGGAGACAAGAAGCCTGTTGCATAACTCTGGCTGTAGCAATGGATTGTGCCGCTGTGTCTGATGCATCCAGCGAAGCTTGAAAGGCTATCCATGCAAGAAGGTGACCCTCCAAGATGACTGCTTTGAATTGTTATTTTTTGTCATCAAGGATGCAATCAATAAACTCAGACATTTTAGAATAATTTGTGTGATTGTATTTGGCCATTAGTGCATCGTAACTGGCGATTCTGAATTGCAGAGTCGCTGACGAACAGGCTTTGTGCCCAAAGAGGTCTAACCACTTCCAGTCTTAATCATACTCTGGAGTGGTGTTGTCTGCGTCATTCATTCATGGCCTCTACCACCAAGGAATTCGGTAGGACATGTGAAAACAAAAAATCCAGATCATTAGAGGGAACTTAGTAATTCTTCTCCACTCTCTTACAAGTGGGCGGTATCATTGGGTGGTATGCCAGATGGTTTTGGCTGGATCCATGAGTGCCTCATTTATGGGGAGCGCAATCTTCAATGAGGCTGATGTTTGCAAAGTGTCCAACAGCTTGTGTTGAGATGCTGCAACTTCTTCCAAGGGTATCCTGAGCGAGCCAGCAATCCTTTTAAATAGCTCCTAGAATGGTTTAAAGTCATCAGCTGTTGTGGGTACTGGAGGCATGATGGCTTTGTCCAGAGAAGATGAAGAGATATTGGTTGGTGGGGTGACTTCTTTTGAAACGGATCTTTTAATTGCCCATGGCTGGGCAGATGTTACCGGTATCAGTGAGAATTCGGAAACCAATATGCTTATGCACAGTAATTTATTTGAGGAAGAATCACACAAGCAGTTAAGATTACACAGTACACATCTTTTCCTATAAGCCTCAGCTCCCCAAGCATAAATCCTCAGTAACTATGTTAGCTCTACACAGTATCCTGATTGTCAAACAAAGCAGGTATATCTACCAATTCTAGATGGAGACGTCTTCTCTTCTCGTCTTTTCCCTCTCAGGAACTTGGTCTGTCAAACATCCCCCAAAGCAGGGCCTAGGTCACCCTGAGCCCTTCTGGTTCTAGAAACCCACAAAGGTCCCTCAAAGCAGAGTCTAGGTTACTCTGAGGACTTCTGTCTCACAGTCTTGAACCTCTTCAGAGGTTAATTGGAGAACTAATCTAACTAATTTACTTTGCTTAGCATTTATATCTTTTGTTCTCAAAGAAGTCACATGTCCCAGAAATATGCCTTGTGGATGTTTATTACTGGTATATGCTAATTAATATTTTGGAAGGGACTGCAAAGCAGACACCGACACAGCCCAAAGCTCAATCATCATTTACCCTCTCACCCAGCATGTCCCTGCAGCCCATCACTTCCCGCGGCTCCCATTGGCCAGGAACGGCGAACCGCAACCACTGGGAGCTGTGGCGGGCCGTGCCTGCGGACACTCAACGTTAACAAAATGTCTCGCGGCCCACAATCAGATTACCCCGATGGGCCGCATGTGGCCCACAGGCCACAGGTTGCCCTCCACTGTTCTACATCCAGGGTTTTGTAACAGCAAATGGGCCCATCAACTCCTCACGGGGATATCTAGCTGGAAATTCTGGACTTTTCTTGTTACCCGGTATCAGTCAGCTTCTGTTATTTCCAGTCGATGAGAAGTTATGACTGTTCCTAATCATAATTAACTAACTGCCTTTGTGTTACGTATGTCAAGTATATGTAGTGCTTTTGGGAGAAGTATACACAGCCACTAATATTAGGGGCATGTCAATACTAAATACACCATGTTTAAATTGTTCATATTTTGGTTCTTTTGGTTAATGGTATGTGTTTTTGACCTAATTTGAAATAAACAAAATATGCTCTAGTACATCATGGAAAAACAGATTTGCTTGGTAATCCAAGTGATATGAAGAAAACACTTGAAGTTGTCCCATCTAGTTTTCCATCATCTCAAGAACTCTGAAGCAGTACTGTATTCAACACATCACTGATATTTTTATCTATTAGTTCTAGCAAATTTGACATATCTTGTATACAATACTGTTATCATTTCAGATAATATAAGTGTTGCCACTTGTAAGGGAATTTTCCAGGAACTGTTACTGTTTTACAATCCTGTCTCCTTTTGAACACCCCCTGAAGGGGATCCAAGTGCATTACATGATATCAAAGAATTTGTTTTGATTAATATTCCTAGTGATTTGCTGTTCTCTAACTTTCTTCTTAAAGCCACCTTCTAATCTCAGACTTATACACATGCTCTTTTAAATATACTGAAGGTCAGCAACAGATGTCATGCTTGGCAGTAGTTTGAAAAGCACAGGGAATTGCACAAGAACAAAAAGATCTAGAGCTGAGTGCATGACAGGAAATTCATAAAGACAACCACTTAGCCAGCCCTACTGAATAACAAAGAAAATGGATGTTCCTCACTGACTGGCTGAAATTATGCCAAATGGATGTCTTTTCAAGGTATTCGCATTCTTGCATGATATTGTATTGCATACGTGGCTTAAGTAAAGCGGTGATTTATTTGCAGGGAATGGAGGAAGCCCAGAAAATTCAATTTCATACCAATTAAACTATCTGTTCCCTGATTCTAAACATTCAGTAACTCCCTACCCAGAGCTTAGCAATGTTTCCCCCTCCTCTCTATATTCTTCTGTGATTTCTTACCATCTACTAAATATATTAAGACATTCTCTTTATATTAGTTCACAGCATCAAAACCCTTATGTGGCTTCTTCACCTTGCCCACCCCTCACTCCCAGGAACTCCACAAATAAATCACTGGACTAGGAGATATACAATGATATTACTAAAGAATTTTAATATCATAAGCCTATGAATTTCCACTAAAATCAAATACAAACTCTAGATAACTACTGTGTATGAGTGCCTTCTAGAACTCCTCACGGTCAAACTTTCCACATTACTAGTCAAATTAACTTAATTAACTGAATAATATTATACATATAGGGGATGTAAGTGTAACTTAGTTCATACATGCTTCTTGATATGTTACTCTCTATTTTACCTCCAGTTCTTTTATCCAAAGCCAAGCATCTTGCAAATTCTCTTCATTAACTTCAGCAAGTTTATCTTGCCAAGCTACTGCTTGAGCATCAAATTTCACAAAGTTAAAGCTGCGTTTGTGTCTCAGTTGTTCCTGTAAGAGATAGTCAGTTGCATTTTTCTCAATATTAAAAAAAAAAAAAAAAGACAAACCCATGTTACGTTTGGAGAGCAACATCCACAAGAGTAGTTTTCATTCATGTATAATTGGTAGTATAATCACAATAAATAATGACAAGTATTCTTTATACATATATGTTAGGAGGGAGATAGTAGCATCACCTATTATTAAGTTTGCCTGACATTTCCCATTATAAGATCCTTCAGTTGCTTATAATTTTGTCATGAATGACTATGAATTGCCACTTTGAATGACAATGAATAGCCACTTGGCCAGGGAAAGAGAGTGAGAATGACTCTGTAGTCTGGTAATGAGGGCATTTACCTAGGATATGGGAGATCCAAGTTCTAATCCCTTTTCTCATCAGGCACAGGGGGGAATTAAACATGGGTAAAGTAAAGCGACAAGTCAGTCATGGATTCTGTGATTTTACGTGACCTCTGCAACTGCAGCCTCAGGCAGCTGTCAGCCCTGGGCAGCGGGGATCGGGCTGTCAGCAGTAGCGTAGCTAGTGGGGTGCAGGGGAAGCAGCCGCTTCCCCTTAGCACATTTTCCAAAAGCGGAGCCCATGCTCCGCTCTGAAGCTTGGTCTGCCCGGCGGCGCTGGGCTCCTGCAGGCAAGGGAGGGCAGCACGCCTGGAGGAGCCATGGGGAGGGGGCGGCACGGCCGGAGGAGCGAGGGAGGCGCAGCATGGCGGCCCGCAACTCCCCCCCCCCACGGACAACTTTGATGCACTGACCGGGTCCCGGGGCGCCCCCGGGGCAGGGAGGGTCTCCCCCACCTCCTCGCAGCAGCCACACCGGGCGGACCCGCAGCTGGTCACTCCCAGCAGGATCCTCGGCGCCGCCCTCGGCTCACCGGAATAAAGCTCCCCCAAGGAGGGGAGAGCGCTTCCCCCCTCCCGCCGCGGCCTGTCAGCGCGACCCGCCCACAGCCAGGCTCCGCCAGCAGCCCCGGGCAGGGCAGCGCCCCCGGGCTGAGCGGGCGAGCCGGGCTGCAGCTCGCTCGGACCGCGCCTGGCGGGGCTTGGTGCCTTCTGCCCCCACCCCCCCAAGGGGTAGCGCCAGCGCTGAGCCTGGGCTGGCGCTGCTCGCGGCGAGCCCCTCCGAGGCAGTGGCAGCGGGGTTTGCTGCTCTCTGCTGCTGGCTGGGTTGGGCCTAGCAGCCGGGCCCCGGAAAGAAGCAGCGGAAGGGCAGGCAGCGGACTCCCAGGCTCTCCCGGTCCTGGGGGCAGCTCCAGTCCCCTCTGCACAGAGAGCCCCGGGGACCCCAGCCCACGGCATTCTCATCCCCGGTAACCCCTCCCCAAGCTCCATACCCCGTGTACCCCTCCCATGTACCACATGCCCCTGCCTTTCCCTCCCCTTCACCTCCCCTCGTACCCCCGTCCTCTACCACCCTACCTACATCCTCTCCTACACCTCCCCTCAAGTCAAACCTCTGTCCCCCTCCCTCCACATCCTCCTCTTCACCTCCCCTTGTACCCCCTTCCTCTGCCACCCTCCCTACATCCTCCCCTCCACCTCCCCTCAAGTCAAACCTCCGTCCCCCTCCCTCCACATCCTCCCCTTCACCTCCCCTCGTACCCCCTTCCTCTGCCACCCTCCCTACATCCTCTCCTTCACCTCCCCTCAAGTCAAACCCCCTGTCCCCTGCCACCCTCCCTCTACATCCCTCCCCTCAACCCCCCTGTCCTCTGCCAGCCTTCCTCTACAGCCATGGGGGGGCAGCGTGGCCGGAGGAGCGAGGGGGGGCGCAGCATGGCCGCAGTGTGGCCGGAGGAGCCAACCGGGGGGGGCACGGCATGGCCGGAGGAGCCAGGGGGCGTGGCCAGAGGAGGAGCCGGGGGGGCGCCTTTTTTATGTTTGCTCCCCCTGCTCTTAGAACCTGGCTACGCCACTGGCTGTCAGCTCCAGGAGGTGGGGCTTCAGCTCCAGCCCCACATCACAAGGCTCAGGCTTCTGTGATTTATTGTTTATTGTGTCCTGCGTCCTGCTTGTGACTTACTAAAAATACCCGTGACAAAATCTTAGCCTTAAACATGGGTCTCCCACATTCCAGGTGAATGGCCTAGCCACTGGGCTAAAGCTTATAAGGAAGGCAGTGGCACCACAACCACCTTCTTCTTCACCACCAGCTATTTCTTGAATTCTTTGCTTTTGTCAAAATGCCTGAGAGTCCAAAAGAAATTTTACAGGTCTAAATGAAAGGTTTCATTTCAATATCACCAAAATGTTTATTTCTTTCAGTTCAATCAAAACTATTCAGTGAACTCAACACAAATTCACAAACTGTTCTGGTTAACCCCAAAATGCATTTTTGGTGAATAAATTATTTGTCTAAAAACTGTGTCACCCAGCTCTAGTTACAAGCCTTTGGGGCCGGGGGGAGGAATCACAATTCACACATGCTCAGTAGAGAGTTGCTAGAGCTTAGCTAAAATCTCCAAAGATTCTATCTGCAGAGAGCATGCTCCAGCCCAGGGCTAAGCAGGACTTTCTCTACAACTGCTGCTCTCTGCTGCTGCTGGCTGAGATTGGGCACCTGAACTGACAGCATTCGTAGGAAAATCAAATGTTTTGCAAAATGTTTCATTTTTTTTAAAATGGCTACTAATTTTAACTGAAAACAATGTGGAGGGGAAAAAAAGCTTCAATCAGCTCTAAGTGCTAGTACTGCTACACATATCAGGTTTCTGGAACCCCACCATTTTATCTAACCTGAATGAGCTGAAATATTTTCTCCTTCACAAGTGGAAGTTTGTCCCTCATAGACTGAGATGTATCAATGAGAATATAGACGTGATCTTCAAGCACATTCCCAAAGAGACCTCTGCTCCCTCGCTGGAGCCATTTAACCCTGCAAAAAACATAAAATAAATAAAGTCACCTGAACATGGTGTGAAAGGCAACATTTCAATAACATTTTGGAGCTAGACAGGCAGCATAAAGCAATATGGTAACATTAAAGCCAATAATCTTCCAGATTGAACTAGCTGTCTCTGTGAGCGACCAAGGTGTTCCTACTGCTCAGTGACTGTACTCCAGACCTAATTCAGGAAAGCATTTACACGTGATAAAATCCATCCCCATTCAGGGAAACACTTAAGGCTCTGATTCAGCAAGAAACTTAAGCACTTAAAACAACTTTAATGTTAGGCTCATGTTTAAATTCCTTACTGAACAGGAGCCTTAACCACATTGTTAATTTTAAATTAACTGGATTCAAGCACAGGCTTAAAGTTAAATGTGTGCTTGGGTGCTTTCCTGAACAGAATTATTTTCCTGATTCAGAGCCTCTAACTGGTTCCACTTTAGGTTCCCCTGGTGAGCTCTAACAACCTGCGTACATTGCAGTGTGGGATATTAACGAATAGTGCAGTGGCTTTGAGATAAAGATTACTCACCTTTGTACAAGTTAAAAGAGAATGATGCCATAAAAAAATAAAAGAATCATGTCACATTTGCAGCTGAAGGACATTTTCTCATGAAGTATTTCACAAAAGCATGCAAAGTACTCTACCAAGGTTTCATGACGAATGGACAAGCCATTCAAAATAGAAAAATCTATGCTGGTGTTCTCGGATTTGAAATATAAAATTTGACTCTCAAATCTGTCCTGCTAGGAGCTTTCACCGGCATGTGAATTTCAACCAGAAGAAGACAAAGATAGGATAAACCAAGGAAAAATAACAAAACCCTGGATGTTGATAAATATATTCAGGCACTGATACCCTTGGTGGGAAGAAACATGAAAAACTATGAAGAGAAATGCTTGAACACAATTGTTTCTGTTACATTGAGAACAATCCCTAACAGACAAATATTATAAGGGCCAGGTTATGCCTATTAATTGCACGCCTGAGGTCTGGGTGGGGCAGCGCCGCACTGCACCAGCAGATGTTCTTGGAAGGATTATGCTTTAGGGAAGCAAAAGGCCTCTTGGAGCTCCTGGGGAGCTCCACTGCTGAGCCACCCCTAGGATTGAGCACCATGTTCTCCTCTCTATGGCCAGCCACCAGATCTAGTTAGGGTGGAGAGGAGGGTGTGACAATCAGGGTCCAGATGCCCCAAGGAGGGTACAAAAGGTCTGAACCCCAAAGAATAAGAAATTGAATCAAGCGGTTGTATACAATGTTATTGTGTATAAATATATATCAAGAAAGGTGTTTTATGAAAGCTTGTAGTGTTCTGACATTGACGGTCATTAGGAGAGGTGTTTACAAGTTATGGCTATGAATATAAGTATGTATATATGTTTAGAACATTGTAACTGTTGTACAACCACACCACCACCTCACAACAGAGAGGTGAAGCAATCAGGCAGCAAAAGACAATAGTGGAATTAATGGGGAAACTTTGAAACAACTTGAAATTGAAATGAAAACCTCGATCTTGGAAAACTAAGAGAGAAAGGAATTTCCTCTACCATGTATCACCATAGTCTGAGAGGGGGAAAAAATCTGCAAATCCTCAAAAGAGAGGGGGTTTGAAGTGAAGGACATCCAAAAACTGAGAGCCAGCATCTAGGCAGGGTGCTGTCTATGGAACACTAGATCCCCTCTATGATGGGGCAAACTGCAAAACTGTTCAGAGTCAGTAGGTAACTTATACTAGAAAAGGGAATTTAGCTAATATAGAAGTAGAAAGCCTGAGATTGACCTTTATGTTTATTTTCTGTGTGACTTGTATGTGTTTGCTTTTCCTCACAAATTTGTCTTTGAATCTCTGATTTTTCTATTAAATAAACCTTTTGTTTGATTCTACTCCAAGCAGTCTCTGTTGTGCAAACTGCCTGGAGTGTGTGTGTCAAAGTGAAGTGATAACAGGTGTCAGTTTTCACACCTTCAGGGATGTCATACCAGAGGGGAAAAGTTCAAGTGTCTGGTAAGAGAGATGGATTTGGGGAGAGTTGGACTAGATGCGCTGTTGGGGGCACCCTGGCTGCAAGGAGTAACTAGGCTCTGAGTCATAGCCGCATACTATTAAGGCACCCAAGATTACAGGGCAGATGACGGACAGAACCCATTACTAATTTAAGTGATTCCCAAAATGTCCCAGAGGGCCTTAGGCTAACCCCCTCTCCACACTTTTTGGGGTGGGTACTACTAACTGGGAGCAATCTGTGCACAGGGATTGCAATTGTTGCTGGCTCCTCAAAAAGGAGATACACTTGTGATTCTCAGATGGAAGATGCTATACATGTGCAAACAATTTTGAATTATGATCTATCTTACTTAATATTTATTATTGTAGCATCTGATTTGAACAAGAAACTTTAAGCTCATAAGTCTTTCCTAGTAAATGAATACTAAGAGGTCCTACACATAAAGGTCAGACTTAAAAAAAGGTAACTAACTTCTTTATAACTTTTATTGGGTGTTTACCACCTGCTTCTGTCTGCCATGGCTGTAAACTTAAAACATTTCTGCATTAGAGCACAGATCTGAACAGATTTCATTTGAAACCAAACTAACCTTCTTTCCATTTGTCCAAGAGCATTCTTCATTCTCTCTTCATACTGCCTGTACTTCTCAGTAGAGACATACACATGAACCACAGACCCATCTTTCCAGTAAGTGTGTACAAATTTATCACAGTATTTTGCGTGGATTATTTTCTTATTCGTCTCCTACAGGGGCAAGGAATTATTAATTAAATGTTTTTAAATGTGATCTTTGCAATGTGTTGTGACAACATTTGGAAAATACACTTAAAAGGCAGGGATTTATGCCTGCTTCAACTGCATAGCTGCAGAAGTAGCCACAGATTATAAACCTGCTCAGGACATTGGCTCCTGATATGAAATCAATACAAACTGTTTCCCTGTCCTCTTTGACCTGCTCTTAGAAAGAGCAGGCGAAGTATAGCGAAAAGTGCTCCGGTGGAGCTTGGGAAGAGCAAGCAAACCACAGAATAATCCAACCCTTTACACTTTGCTTTAAAACCCGGTAGTATTAGAGCATCTGGGGCCTCTTCATCTCCTAGACCATGTGGAACAGAGAAGAAACTGACAAACATTCCTTTGCCCCATTCCACTGAGTCATAAAGATGAGGAAAAACAAGTTGTTGCTGAAACCATCCCCACATCCTTGGCAGCAGATTCCATGGTGAATGCAGGAGGCTAGGCAAAGCTGTCCTTTCAGGGCAAAGAGAGGGTCACTTCCACGCCATTTCACTTATGAACCTCTTCATCCTGTTCCATTAACAAGATTTTATTATAATCCTCCAAATAAGAATGGGGTTACAAACAGACCACATGCTGTACAAAAGGCTCATCTATAAAGTTTCATTGCAAGTCTGAAAAGCAGAAAAGCAGACAGAAGCCGAAAAGGACACAGCATTCGAGGGAATCTTAGCAGTACTTACAGCATCAGTTTGTAAAGATTCATCCTCTGGCTTGGCTTTTATGTCAACCACCCCGTCAGCGTGCCGAAAAGTACAGTCAGCAAGTGCTTCATACAACGTCAGCTTCTGAGCTTTCAAGCCATTCTTCTGCAACCACTCCTTAGAACTTATATAATCCTCAGGTTTTGGCTCAGGCGCTGGAGGATCAGTTTTGGTTGCTGATTTGAAAATATACATAACTAGTTGTACTTAACATAATTCACCAAAGAGTTTCTGTAAGCTATTACAAAAGAAGACTGATATATGGATAACTGGGCCAAAAGTTACAAACCTAAGGCCAACCTTGGGCTCCTAACTCCATATTTAGATACCTAAATAAAGAGTCTGATTTTCAAAAGTGTAGACAAATCATACTGACGCCAATGGGAGCTGCGGGATGCCCAGCACTTTATAAATGAGGCCAGCAATTTAATTGCCGAAGTATGGATTTAGGAGGTTAACTTTAGGCAACCATGTTTAAGAATGTTGATCAGAATTCTGAGGAGAATCACTGAATAATTATAGTTATAGAGATCTGACTGCATGCATGAAGTTGCAAGAACAGAGCCTTATCATATGAAAGGAACTGCCTTTTGACTGGCCTTTCATAAACTCTGCTAAATCATGTTTTAAAACAAGTCTGTTTGCATTTTCTTCCTTTGCATATACTTTATGTAAAGGCCACAGCTTAGTGTGTATACATAATGTATTATCTGAAGAGTTAATGGAAAGTAGACAGCCTCTTTTTCATTTCACTAGAACAGAACAGAGAAAGGATACAAGAGTTTTAAAGAGATCAGGAAGACAAAGAAAGAAATGTAGACAGACAGGACAACTCCAGTTATCTGAATCACTGAGAGACAAAATAGATGGGCTGCCTGAGTTCAGCTATTAATCACACTGGAATTTAACATTTTCTTTAATTCAGTCTAGTGTATGATCAGAATATTTTAACATTTTATACAGTGATTATACAGTATATGAAAAAAATACATTAAAACAACATTAAGGTTGCAAAGTCAAGCACTTATAAATTAGGAAATGTCAGAATTAAAGTTGCCCATGTAACCTTAATTCAGGCCCTTTGCACATATTTATTATGAAAGTCTTGCCCAACATCATACAGGAAGTATGTGGCAAACCCAGGAATGGAACTCAGCTCTCCGGTACTACTCCAGAGAATGTCCTTTCTCTCCCTGAATCCCTCTGTCTCATTCATTGCCAAACCTGTGTACTGAATGAAGCAGAAGTTCTGTAGAACAAATAATATGTGATTGTGTAATTATAGATTGTACCATAATGCTTACACACAAGGGAACCAAATTAAGGCATGAAGCCTTATTTCTGACATTTCTTAATCCTGAATGCTTAATTTTGCAACCTTAATATTTTTAACCTGTATTAATGTAATTTCCTAGTTTTTTTAAACAAGAAAATTGAAAAAATAATGGAATAATACTGACACACACACCTCACCCATGGATCATCAGCAGGGTTTGAATGTAGGACCTTTAGATCCACTGTACAGATCTCCAACTTGAGCTAAAGTATTAACTGGTAGCGGTAGTAGGCTATTATCTCTAAAAGGTCCAGCAACTAGATGGGGAAGGTGACACTTTGCCAGTGGCTTACACACTATTTGTAAGAGAGCAGTGAAATGTTGGGAATTAAGAATTCTGGGTTCTATTCCTGGCTCTAGAAGGTAGTGTGATCCAATGGTTACAAACAGCACAGCCAACCATATAGATATGGCACAACTATTCTTAAAGGCAGAGTGGCTAAGTAGATCAGACTAGGGTCTTCCAAATTGGAGGCATGGGTTCTCTTCACAGCTCTGCCAGAAGCAATCTTGTGTGACCTCTTAGTTACTCCTTCTGTAGAAAGGGGGGGGATCCGAGGTCGGAGGTCTTGTCCAGAAGTAATGACTATGAAGTGCACAGGGTTAACACCTGAGTAGTGGAACAGCTGAGATCAGAACTCTTGGCTTACAATCCCGAACACTTTCCCCTAAGTCAAAACATGCTTTTCAGCTGTTTCTTTGCCTAACCTACAGAGCCAAATAGGGAAGCCTGGGAATGTGTGGTTGCCATGCAGAAGCCCCATCAGGCCTGGAATCATGATCAGGGCAGATAGAATATTCAGAGCTTTTAGCAACAAACCTCTACACCTAAAATGTAGGTTGACCTAGCTATGTCACCCAGGGGTGTGAAAAATTCACACTCCTGAAAGACATAGTTCAGCCAACCTACACCCCAGTGTAGGCACCACTAGGTCGATGGAAGAATTCTTCCATCAACCTCTCAGAAGGGGTGGGTTAACTACAGTGACTGAAACCCGCTTCCACCACTGTAGCAAGTGTCTACACCAGGGGTCGGCAACCTTTCAGAAGTGGTGTGCCGAGTCTTCATTTATTCATTCTAATTTATGGTTTCGCGTGATAGTAATACATTTTAACCTTTTTAGAAGGTCTCTTTCTATAAGTCTATAATATATAACTAAACTATTGTTGTATGTAAAGTAAATAAGGTTTCAAAATGTTTAAGAAGCTGAAAATCAGCTCGTGTGCCACCTTCGGCACGCGTGCCATAGGTTGCCTACCCCTGGTCTACACAATAGTGCTAGAGCAGCACATCTGTAGCACAGACACACCCCAAGGCTTTGTCTTCACTGCAGAGTTAATTTGAGTTATACATTCAAGTTAACTCCATTCAAGTTAGCCTAGCTCACCTGACAATGGCCACACTGCTAACACTCGACTTATACAGAGTGATTTTATGAGCAGCACAGAGTGACTGTGTTAGCAGCTGACATGTTGTGTTAACATGAGTTATAGCCTATACCCCCGATGGGCCAGCCAACTTGAGTTAAACTCACCACTGCTGTGATGCTCCACAGAGATACCCAGGGTGGTGAGGAACCTCACCCCTCAAACCACTGCTTAGGTTGAAACAGTCTTGTCTGTGCCTGTTGTGGATCAGCTCCCTGAAACCAACAGCCTTTAGCAACACAAGCACTACCTTCCAGGCCCCACCAGGCCTCGCTCCCTCTGTGCAGGTAGTAATATGCACACACCAACCCCTGAATCCTCTGAGCATTCCCTGCAGTGTCCAGCCCCTGATCCACTGAACGCTCATCAGATTACCAGACCCACTGTTCCCGAAGAAACAGTGCACACCAGCTGGTAAGATTCACCTCAGGATCACCACTTTGCTTAACACTACAGCACTTAGATATATTCATAGTGAAAACACGAATACATTTATTATCAAAGACTAGAGATTCAAGTGATAACGAGTCAGACTACTGGAAACAAATGGTTACATATAAAGCAAAATCATAACACACTGTCTAGGGATGAAACGTTAACTAACAAGTTATTCTCTTTTCTAAAGAAGCTCTTCTCACCCAAAGTTCTCTCCAGTGTTTTTAACCGAGCCTGGTTGAAACCCCCTTTTTTAAATAAAGCCAACTCACTGTTTGCTTACCTTCTCAGTGAAGGGTGCCAGGGTGTCTTGTTTAACCCACCCTAACCCCTCCATATATAGTGGAGCAAACCTTTGAAGTGCACCTCAGGAGAAGGCTCTTCTTCCCCACCACCAAAACCTGCTATTTTTCTCTTCCTCTTAGTTCCCACACTCCTTCATTTTCATTCAGTTCAGACTGGAGATAGGAGACCCATTGTGAACAAGACAATACTCAACTTATATGTAAACAAATATATGAAGAAACATCTCGTCAGACAGAAAGCCTGGTTTTCATTTTTGCTAGTGACACAGACTAAGAACATGTTTTCAGTATATATATTCAGAACTCCTTACATAGTATCTGCATACATATTTCACAACAATATTGATTATCAGTCTGACGTTGGCTTTTATTTGAGACCTCACATGACATTCTTTGGTGAAGTACAGTGTACAGACCAGATTCAGGCGAGTCTTATTCCCCCCCCCCCCCCCCCCCCCCACACACACATACTGTCCTTTGCCAGTTGACAAACCTGGTTCGCAACCACATTCCAGTGAAGGGTTTTAGTGTGTGGATGAGGCCTGAGTAAGGAGCAACTCTCGAGTTACAACTCAAGTTAACGCTGCAGTGAAGACAAGGCCTAAGCATATGACAATTTTCAGAGGTTTGTAATTTGGTCAAATGTGGATGAATTTCTGTGGGGCAGCTGAACTGCACAGCTATCCCCTGCCAGGTTTCAAGTCCCTCCGTCAAGCCATAGAGCTGATTGAGCTCCTCAGAAAAATAGCTGGAAAAATTAACATTAGTAAAACTACCTGTTTTCGCTAGTCTTGTTCTCAGAGACAACTGAATAGTTTTTGCTGAAACTTTCCAAAAGGCAGAAAACAAACATGGAAAAATTCACCCAAGAATTGTTAAAGTTTAACAAAGTTAAAGCAACTGTAAATAGAAGCTTATAAAGGTAAGTGTATGCAACCGTAACTATAGATGTCGTATCTTGGTCTTAAAATCATCCCTAAATTGGCAGTTTATCAAAATTGCCCACAAATGAAACAAATTAATCATGAACACAATGATATCTTTCCAGAAAGAACTATAAACAATACCTTTGCCAGATATAGGCTGGTCAGACTCTGATAAAATATTCTGAAGTTGTATCAGCGCATTTCTGGCCTCCTCCAACTCCTTCCAGATCAGGAAGACATCTTCTCTGACACCAGCAACTGTGGGAGGAATAATGCACAGACTTTAATGCTTTCAGACAAATTCTGCTTTCACCTCTACACCTGCTCAACAATCCTAAAGTCAATGGGGTTGCCTGGGTAGGTACCATTTTATTACTTTGTCCATAGGGTTCTGTCAAGGCTGTATCCCCACTTTGAACCTTAGGGTACAAATGTAGGGGCCTGCATAAAAACTTCTAAGCTT